CGAGAAGGCCCAAGATAAGAACAAACAGCACGAACCTGCAGGACGGGGAGAGGGGTGACTTCCGACTGGCATGTTTCTCTTTCCTCTGGAGGGAAGGCTTTTTACCTTGGTGGATTCATCTCCTTTTGGGCACCTCCATATTCGAGCCCGGAGGACACTGGCTCCCTGCAGGCTAGCTCCTCGAATCATTTAAAGGACTCCCAACAGACCCCGCTATGGCTTTTCTTTTCCACTTCTTACGATTCTGTATTTACTACAGGGCACATTGCCTTAGCTACAGTTACCATAGCGTCAGGGGCCAGAGAACAGGATGGCAGGTGACCACATTTATCTGCTGACGCACAACGCCTGCTTGGCCATGTCATTAAAATTACATAAGTTAAAGCACATGGAGAGGAGAACCAGGTTTGCTGAGTAAACTTGTTGTTTTTAAAGGGCAGGTGAGGGGTGGGAGAAAGTCATGAAATTTTAAAATTTCGAGGGAAAGCGTTTTCTCAGGAAATATTTCCAGCCATGCCACACAACTTGAATGCACATCACAGGTTACTGTAGCAGACGTTCAGAGCTCCCTGAGGCCAGCACCCAGGGGTGAGGGTGGCAGGAGGCCTCCACAGAGGGCAATGACCACTGCCCTGTCCTCTCTCTGTGGTTCTCAAGGTGCGGGCTCTGGGAACATGCGGATACGCACGCCCTCGGCCCCACCCGACTGCAGCCTGCGGGGCGGGAGCCACCGCTGCAGGGCAGCTGGGTACCACGCAGAGAGAGCAAGAAGACAGAATGAACCAGCCACCGAGCCGCTGGGCCTGTTTCTTGTGAAAGAGAGAGGATGCATCCCAAGAAGGGCACGCAGCTGAAACGTTCTCAAGGATTATTGCTGTTCGCAGACAAGTGTCAGGGGTGGTTGCCAAGGTGGTGAAAACAAGCCAGCATGCCTGGCCCTGCCCACGCTGTCAGGCCTCAAGCCCCCTTGTGAGAAGTGGTGCTAACGCTACCACCTGCCTCAGGGCTGAGTCCCTGAGAGGTTCCTTAGCGTCTCAGGCCACTTGCCGGCACAGAGAAGGCTGACCAACGCCACCGACGTTACAGCCAGGTGCTGGCAAATTAACCACACTGCTGCCGAACCCGAGGTAGGCAAGCCTTCCCTGTAAAGTGCCAGATACTAACTTCCAGGCTTCTCCGGCCTAGCTCTGTGTCACAGGTACTAAGCACTGCCGTTTATGAAACAGCCACAACCGTGGGCATGGCGGTGTGCCCACAAAACTTTACTTACAAAAAGGGGCAGCAGGACAGATCTGGCCCCCCGAGCCAGTCCCTGGTCTAACTGGTAATGAGTGGCGCGCTGGCTTCAATTTAAGTAACAATTGCTTCTTTGATTACTTACGCCTGGAACAGGCTGTGACTGAATGAGGTACAGAAAATTCCCGAGGCAGGCCCGCAACAAATTTAGAATTCTTGGAACCAAATGCAACAGATCCAAGAGGCCTAACATACTCTGCGGGTTAGGTCACTGCGCCTAGTTGAAGCTCAGGCACAGGCCCCGGCAGAGGGCGCGCGAGCTGCGCGCACCAGCGGGTGGCCGAGTGGACTGGACACCTGAGCCGCACAAGGCCCCGAGCGGCAGGTGTGCGGCCGGGCAGCCTCCCGCACCTGGCGGTCCACGCAGAGCCCCCGGCCCCCGCCCAGGCCCCCTTCCCTCCGCGGAATCCCCGGCGGCCAGAGAGCGCACCAGGACCGGTACCGAACGACCACAGGTGAGGGGGGCGGGGCGCACACAGGTCACGGGACGAGGACAACTGGCAAGGGGAGGGGCGGCGCCCGGGGAAGGCGCGCACTCAGGCAAGGGGAGGGGCGGCGCCCGGGGAAGCGCAGCTGCAGTGAGGAGGTCCCAGGAGCTCCTGGCTCTCACTCTCGGATTCCTTTTCGATTATGTCTCCTTCACTGTCAAGCTGTCACCCTTTCTTCTGGTTCTGATGTGTCACTGACTGAAAAATCAGAAAATCCAGTTTCTTAGAATTTTGTCAAAGAAGGGGTTTCCAGGTGAGGCTCGGATGCTGCTGTTCCGGGGACCTGGGGGTTTGCTTTTGGTTTCTTCCCTTGTTTTGCCACCAACGCCAAGTGCACTGTGCAAAAATAAATCCCATGTAGGTCTTAAAAGGTAAAAACCTATTCCAGTGTGCCTCCGGGAGCATACACACGGAAACAAAACACCAAGGGCTCTGGCCATCTTTGTCCTGAGTAGAGTCTAACCTCAAGAGAGGCCCATGAGGAACCTATATGTACAGACTGATCCTTTTAGATGCTGTTGGTACTCAAACAAGACAAAACTAAGGATTATAGACTTAAAACGAGATTAGTTTTTATTTAGAAAGGAAAAGCCTGTGAGTTAAAGAAAATGAACCATCTAATGAAATTCACAGACCTCATTAGTGGTATCTTACCAGGAAGTGATATGAATTCTTCTCAGAGAAACAGAGCAGAGTTTTGTGTGACTCATTTCCAGATTCCTGTGGTTTATTATCCTTATTTCTAATTTGTTGGAAGACTATCTTTACACAGATAACAAATGTTCCAGTATTCTGACACTGTAACACCCACATAGCAACAAGAATAAACTTTAATGTTAAATCCAAAATCTGTGGCTTCTGGGTTTAATAGAAACAGACATTAGTAAAAAGTTTCCTTTCTCCCTAGCAGTATGTTTTAGAGAACTCGCTAACTTCTCTAACATGTTGAAAGTTGCCAGTTTACATGGATCTGTACTGCGGACACGGGTTGGTGATGCTCCTTTTAAATGAGAAAATGAAGAAAAACAGTACAGGTTAGTCTGTTTCAAATTATGTTTTTAAGTTTCGTGAATGCTAATTGATTAGAATTGGGTCAATTCATTGTGCCATGAAGGACAGACACACTTTCACGGGAAAGACACACTGAAGTACATGAGTAAGTGAAACGTCTTTTTGCACAAGCCGAGTCTAACCGTCTTGCTGTCGATGCTGCTCACATGAAAAAGGAAAAGCTGGGAACCAGCCACCCCAGGACAGGAGAGCACCCCTAACCCCCACCCCCCACTCTCTTCCAAATCGGCCCAAGGCTACTGTCACTTAGCTTTGCCAGGTGGACTGGTGGGAGGCCTGGGCAGGACCAGGGCCCCGGGCATGGCCTCGGGGCACAGTGGGGTCTGGTCTGGCCCCCACTTTGATCTCCCTGATTCAAGAGAGGCAGGTCCCTTGGGAGCAGCATCTCGTTGAAGGCGTAAAGCGAGCACCAAATACCAAATCATGCTGCTCCCACCTCACACGTGGGTCAGTTTACATGATGAGCAGGATCTGAGAAATGGTTCAGAGAACACATAGCTTCTTTTTGTCTTGAGAAACCTCAGACTTTAATTTCCCCTAACTTGGTAAAGAAAAACACTACTTAAGAGGACTCTTAGTTATTTCTATGATGTTTAATACTTAAGTCTTCTTAGCCCTCCAATCAGAACTCGAATTTCCGGCTGAAAATGTGCCCACTGCGTTTAAATCATACCCTCGGTGTTTAGCTACATAGTTCCTGCCTGACTCACATTCTACCAGAAAGTCACACACAGGCAGACACAGGAGCGTCAGTAGTCTCTCCCGCTGGGGTGACGGCACACTCAGCTGCCAGTGCACCAATATTCGGGAGTGAGGGGGGTATTTCCAGAGACCCCTTGCTGGTGCCACGCCGAGCCTGGCCCTGTGCAAGGAGCCTCTGGGTGCCCCAAATTGGGGGGAGTTCTGGGCTGACTGGAGGCCAGAAGCTTTCACGTTGAATACGACATTTTAATCCCCAGTTAGGAACAGGAAAGCCCTTGCTAGCTCTTCAGAGTTAGTTGAGAAAAAAAAAAAAAAAAAAGCAAACCCAAGTGGGTATCCTGACAACATGTCTGTAAAAAGGCAGCACCTCCCAGAATCGTGAGCCCTGCAGGCCCGGCCCATCTCTGTGGAGGGAAGGACCAGGCCAAGCGTGGCAGCAGGGACCACAGACCTCCTGCCGCTTCTCCACACGTGTAGTGATGCTTACACACCCTGTAAGTCTGCAACCAGACCTCCATGGTTTCAGCGACTCTGCATCATGGACTTTTGCTGCTTCGAGCTGTGCCATGCCCTTAGGCCCTTACCAGCTGGAGGGGAGAAGGCCATGTGCACTGCCAGGCTCGGAACAGCAGCCCCTGCACACTCCACATGCGAGGGGACACTCTCCGTTCCAGCCAGGAAGCCTCCAGACACAGTGTGGACTCCACTGCCCCCAGCCCACGGCCAAGCCTCTGCAGGCACCTAAACATCTGTGAGCTCCTGCCTCCAGGCCCCCGCATCACTTGAGTGGAGCATGCAGGCCACACAGGACCCAAACACTGGCTCCTTCTCCTGCCTGTTCAGCTTTAGGAGCAACTAAAACACAAATTAGCTTCTCTGGGCCTTTAACCACTGGTGTGTGTAACTATCCATTCATGGAATGTTCTCAAAATGTGACAAGAAAATCTAAAAGCAAAAGCACCTTCTGTGTGTGTGTGTGTGTGTGTGTGTGAGGAAACAGTATTTAAAAGCAAAACCCAGTGATTCCAGCATCTGGCAGACCCAAAGCTGGGACCAGAGTACCTGTTCCTGCCTCCTCTCTGAGCCACCCCACCCTCACAGGTGGTTTCTGGGCCACCCAGACACTCTCTCCCTCACACTGCCCTGCTCCAGTGCACCCTGCCTTGGGGATGGCCTTTCCTGGATACCTCTTCCCTCCCACAGCCTGGCCCCATCCCTGCCCCCCTCCCGCCCTGTCCACCTGGGCCTGTGTGGCTGGGCTGTACCTGCACCCTCCCCAGGCTCCAGCCAGGCCTTCAGACCTGCCAGCTGGCTCCAGCTCCCTCCCAGGCCAGGCTCCTCTGAATCACTGTCCCCCTCTCCAATATCTCCAGTGTGTGTCTGCCAGGCCACACTCAGGAGGTGGGCAAACACAGGTGGGTTCCCAGACGAGGGCAGGAGTACCTGAGTGAGAAGCTGGTCTGGCGCTAGCTGGTTGATCCACCTTGTGTATCGCTCAGTGGAGTTGGGAGGGTCTCTCCTCACCTGGCAACCTACAATCTGTGAAACGAAACAGAACTTAACAAAGTCACTGTGAGCTCGCGTGCGCACACGCCTGTCTACATGTCTCACCTGGTGTAAGCGTGCACAGCCAGCGGGGAACTGAGACCCCACACTAGATCGGGGAAAACTTCTGGGAGTAAAGGGGAGAGGGAGGGCACCCACTCAGTGCAGAGTTCCGGGCGGACCCCACACCGAACAGTTCCAGCAGCACCCGTTAAACTACTCTGGGTTGGAACCATCACAGATAACCCTTCCCCCTTAACGCGTTCAAGTTACAATGACCTGTACACAAGGTCGGACATCCAGGTGCTTCCAGAAACTTTTTCTTGAGCCCGAACTGCAGCAGACATGAGAAGGTTCTGCTGCAGCTTCCTGGGCAGGAAATCCAAACGGTCCCATTTCTCCATAATGTTCGTGACTCAGCCTTCCCGAAGGCAGTAACCTCTCAATAAACAAGAGTCCGAGGGTACCAGCAGACAGGCCCTCCCCATCCCAGAAGGAATCCTGGTTCTGCAGTGCAACACCCTTCCCATAATGTACCATTTTCTTACCACTGCTCCTACCCTTGGTCCTCGAAGCCTGGCCCTGCCTCCTCTGGGGGACAACATGACTCCCTGTGCACATCCCTGCTTCGGCACCCCTGGCCCCCAGCAGCCCCGGTTCGCCCCTCCAACAGAGCTTGAAACCTAGGGACACCATCTGCACTTTTGTTTAAGTGTCTGCCTGCAGGATGTTGAAATAGGTCTATGACTGCTGTGCGAAGGGTCCAGTCCTCCAGAGTCAGAGTCAGTTGTGGGAAGAGGCTGGTCCCCACTGCAGGCATCTGAGTCTGGCACTGCAGGAGGGAGCCCCCTTCAAGGGAGGACGTTGGGCAGCACAGGGCCTGCCCCTTGCTGAGGCTCAAAGAGCTCCTGTAAGGGTGCTAATGGCTGGCCCCAGACTCTGCTCTCTCCACCTTACAGTGGTTGCTGAGACCCGTATCAGCCTCCTTATTAAGAAATTAGCCAAAGTTCCACCACGATATTTGAATTTCTTACATCTTGCTCTCTATAGCACTTATGCAGAGTGACTAATTTATATTAATGCGGAAGTGCTAATGAAGAGCTTTGAGAAAGTTTTTGCTTGCTTGCCATTTTTTGCTGATGGGCTTTTTAAAACTTTTTTTTGAGAAAACAGTAGATTCACAGGTAGTAGCAATAATTGAGAGAGATCCTGTGTATCTTTTACACAGTGTCTCCAACAGTAACAATCTTGAAAAACCACTGCAAGTTACCACCGGCAAAGGGAACGCTTGCAGCTTCACAGCCACACCCCCTCTCTGTAAGTGGCAGTGCTGATCTGTTATTCCAATGCTGTAATTCTGTCTTTCCAAGAACGTTTAATCAACAGAATCATACAGTGTGTAGCCTTTTGTGATTGGCTTATTTTCCGCTCCCTAATTTTCTGGAGACTCGTCCAGGCTGTTGTGTGCAACAACAGTTTTTCCTTGTTTGGCTGAAAAACACTGCACAGTACAGACACTACGGGACATGTGGGCTGTTACTAGCATTCCGCAACGAACATTCACGTACAGGGTTTTGTGCGAACGTGTCCTCATTTCTCTGGGGTAAATGCCCATGAGTATGACTGCCAGGTTGTACAGTATTTGTATGTTTAATTTGCTAAGAAAGTGTCAAACTGTTTTCCACAATGGCTTCACCAGCTGTGTGTGAGTGACCAAGTGCTCTCACATCCTCACCGGCCTCTGGCGTGGCTGTGGCTTCGGTTTCAGCCCTTCCAACGGGTCTGCGGTGACCCTCATCACCGTTCTAACCTTGTTTCCTGATGGCTGACCCTCTTTCTGTGGCTTATGTGCTCCCGTCCATCCTCTTTGGTAAGATGTCTCTTGTCCATTTTCTAATGGGGATAAAACACCCTTGGCCACAGATGCATGTGCTTTTCCCATACTTCCCACAGAGCTTGTCCCCTCCTTCCAGAACCACGCACTGAAGACAGGTGTGTTAGAACAGCTCCTGACTCCCCAGGGCCTGATCTGACCCAGATGTACTTCTGTGTCTATTGTATCTATTTTTTGGTCTTGTCAAGACTGGCTTTGCATCTGATTGTTGAGCAGAAAAGATTCTGGGAGAAAAAAGGGAAAATGATCCAAAGCTGTGAGGTAGAGAGGCACCTGGATGGCTCAGTCAGTGAAGCGTCTGGCTCCTGGTTTCAGCTCAGGTTCTGATCAGTTTGTGGGTTTGAGCCCCAAGTTGGGCCCCATGCTTACAGCACAGAGCCTGCTTGGGATTCTCTCTCTCCCTCTCTCCCTGCACTTCCCCCGCTCATGTTGTCCCTCTTTCTCTCTCAAAATAATAATTTAAAAAAGCTGTGAAGTAGAAATCTTGTTCAGAGTTGTGCTCACACATGGATACAGGGGCTTAACTTCCACACACAGATGCCACAGACCCACGCCCCACGCCTGCTGCGTCCTGAGCAGCTGCTAGGGGTGACAAACGGGCCAGGCGCATAGCAGCCCACTCCCAGCGCTTGTGTCCAGCCGGACGAGGCTCTTGTGGGCTCGCGGGTGCTCACGCTGCTTCCACGGTGAGCCCTTTGCCCAGATGCTGGCTTCTGATGAAGGCTAGAGCCAAGTGGGGTGGAGTCTCACATGGAGAAAGAGGGTGGGTGAGGTGACATCTGCCTTCCATGGTGAGAGCACCTATAGATGAAGAGGAGGGTACTTCTGTGTGCCTTAACACTTTCTGAAAACAAAGTGGCCTGGCCCACAGAACAGAAACCACGGGAAACCTTTTCTTCCTGAAGACGTGTCTGTAGCGTGACACCAAGCTCTTCTCCTGAGCCAACCCCCCGCCTCCAAAGCAGGAGGGCTGGCGTGAGACGTCTCCGGTGACCGAGTACAACATATGCTCAATGTTCCACGTGCCGCGAGACTCACATGCCCTGGGGCAGAGCCGCTGTGACAGGAGCCTAGCACAATGCCCTGTATACAGGCGGTGCTCAGTAAGCACAGGCTGAATGAACCCAAGGGCGCGTGCTGGCTTTGGGGATGCACTGCCTCCTGCCACACACCTAAGAGTAGCCGCTAGAGTAAGGCTCTGGAGAGGTGTGGGCCGGTTCCTCTGAGAGCATGTGCTGCCAACCGGGCAGATGGCAGGGGATCCTGGAGTGTGGTCCCTACAAACGCTCTTGAAACTTTCTGAGCTTATATGGGGGCGTCTCAGATCCAGCAGTTTGGCTGGGAAAAAAGGTCAGAAAGTAAAGAAGGTTACTGGACGCAGAATGGAGGTAGTTGTCCAACCGCTCTGCCTGCCCTTGGCCTGACTGGCGCCCACCAAGCCTGGGATCTACGTCCCTCCCCCTGAACCCGGGAGGTGGGGAGGGGGGGGTCAAAGGGATACCAAGACAACACAGCCTCCAGTCTAATCTCTTAGGATCTTGTTTTTGGACGCAGCTGCCAAGCAGTGAGGAAGCCACGCGGCCACCAGTAGCCACCAAGGCCTCAGCCCCACCCCCACCCCGCCCACAGCTGAGGCCCACCGAGAGCAAAGCCCTTTCTGAGGTCCAGACCCGCGGTGTCTGTGCGCGTGGTAACTGGGGGGCTTGCACACCACTACGTCTGGACGCTTGAATAATGGTCACCTCATCAAGCCCACGGCCAGCTGGCTGGCTGGCAAGGAACAGACGAGGCCAAAATCTGGCGCCTTCTGTGAAGACCCTGGTCGGTCTGAAAGGGACTTGGAGACAGGAGGCCGTGCTGTAGGCTGTGCGTCAGTGTGTGCGTCAGTGTGTGCGGCGGATGCGCGGCGGCGTGGGATGCAGTCGGTGGCGTGGGAACCGTGTTGCATCGGGACAGACGCAGCTGAGCTCGCGGTGAGCACAGCACGAGGCACAGACCACAGACGTGTGCGAACACCTGGAACTAGTGCAACACTGAGTGTCGGTGACACCCAAGTCCAAGGAAGATAACACCCGGCAGAAGCGCCGGCTTCATCTGCCCTGCCCCCCGCCGGAGCCACCTTCCGGCCACGTGCCAGGATGACCAGCACGCAGGAAGACGAGGGGCCGTGCTGTTGTTCTCTGGAACTTTAAGAAACAGGGCTGTCGCGCTGGGCACAGGCTGCGGTGGTGAGAAGTGGTGGCAGGCGTGCCAGGGGTGGCCTGTGGAGGAAGGAATGCCTGCACATATCACTGTGGCAAAGCTGGAAGAGTCTACGCCGTCACCCCGCCGGCCGTGGGCTCCACTGTCACCCGAGCAGACCTGGCTTCCGGAAGTGTGTGTGGGACGCTGGTCAGAAAAGAGGGCAGATACAGGGTCCAGGGGAGACCCGACCTGCTCCACCCAGAGAAGCTGGCTGTGGGGGACCCACTCCCTGTGACTCATGGATGACAGCTGGATGGTTAGAAAAAAACCAAACTTTACTTTTAGGTCAACTTCCAATTACCTGGACAACATTCACAACTAGGAGTCAAGCCCGTGAGGCTCACACACATGCAGAGCCCTGGCTGGGGGCCCGTGGCGCCACAAACACAGGCGTGCTAGTGTCTCGAGAGCACTAAGTATCAGCCATGGCTGGGGTGTACACAGGCCACACTCACGAGACTCAGGTGTGACGGTCACATAAACGTGCAGCACGCGTGAAGGAAAGCATGCTCGGTTATGTGGTTTTTACCCCGCGAAGCCCCCAACTGTGGGACATGAGCTGCCTCCACCCCCACCTCTCAATTGTCTCCGGTCCCTGACCTCTCGGGCTTCCCACCTGAATTCCATTGGGTCCTTGCGACCCCCCCCACCCCCACCGTCTTCTGCTGATGCTGTATAAACACCAGACCAGCACCAAGGCCTGTCCCCGGTGGGCAGCAGGCCCTTCCCCATGGGCCTCGTCCAGGGCCAGCTGCAGACGCTGAGGCTCTCACACCCCATCTGCACTGCAGACCAGGGGTCCCCAGCCAGTCCTGTGCACTGTGAGGCAGAGGGTGGACTGTGGGGCCAGGCTGAGCAAACCTTCTCTCAGCCACCACGGGGCGTCCAGGGGGCACTCGCTCCCGAAGTGCTAAACCAGAATCAGGAATGGCACCTACTGTGGGCTTTGTGGGGCACACAGATGCCAACAGTGGGTCTACCGTCTCGCAACCCACGTGTCAGGGCAAACTACACCCTGTCCTGTTTGAAGTGACCGTGCTCCCTCTTCAGGTGCCCGTGTGGCTCCTGGGACATGGGCTCAGGTGGCCCTCCTATGCAGTGGTATCATTCAGTGAGTTGTTACTGCAGGCTCCTGTGGGGAAAAGAGCCAGCAGAAGCCACTCTTCTAGGGTGGGCTGAGGGCGTGCTGAGCAGAGGGTGCGCGTGTTGGAAGGACAGAGGGACCATGGCCCCCACGGCCCCCTCACCTGGAGGACAGAGGAGCCTGCCACCCCCCACTCCCCAGCTTTCCCACAACTCTGTGTCCACCAGACAGGATGCTCACCAGCTTGCTGCTAACAGAGCAAGGCCAGGATTCACCTCTGAATCCTCCAAGCCCCCTGGAGACACAGCAATTCGGGGAGGTAGGAAGTCCCGCCACCAGCTTGCAGGGGCCCAACTGTCCCAGGCCACAGTGGAGGAGCCATCAACAGTGCTGCATCCAGAAGCTGTAAGGTGCACACACCTGTGCAAGGGGCCCCCACTTCTCCTGTGGGGCTGCCTCACCTCTTTCCACCTTCCTGAAACTATGTACCCTAACCCTAACCCTACCGCTCTCCCTCTCTGCACTCCTGCACGGGAGACCCCACAGGGAAGGCCCAGGCCAGAGACAGCGGCTCCCCTGACTCACCCCAACACCCATCCCAGAGCTGATCTCTGCTCGGCAGTGTCCAGTAAGCAGGTGGGTAAATGTTATCCTGGGAGCTGCCCCATGGCACCCAACATCAGACACCCCAAAAGTTCTGCAGTAAATATGCAATGGCTCAGTTTATGGAAACTGTCACCGAGGGCCTTTGCTTCATAATTATATGGTTTTCTTGTAAATGACCTTAAAAAAATGACTAAGGACAAGTATACCCTTAGAACTCGTTTCATTTTTCCAAACAAACTACAACATAATTGACATAACCAACCAGCAACTGCAAATTAGGATTTTTGTAAGTCATGATTTTAAAACAAAACAAAAAACCCCTGGGGCACCTGGGGTCCGACTCTTGGTTTTGGCTCAGGTCATCATCTCGCAGTTTGTGGTTCAGGCCCCACATCAGGCTCCACACTGTCAGCAAAGAGACTGCTTGGGATTCTCTCTCTCTCCCTCTCTGCCCCTCCCCCAGTCGCTCTTTCAAAATAAATAAACTTAAAAAAAAAACACAAAAATCAGCCCCACAGCAACAACTCTGCTGATTTTGCTCTGGGGCAACAAGAGTATGGCATCCCGGTCTACGCTCCACACAGAAGCAACCACTCCCGCCACTTGGCCTCTCCTTGGAGCTGGGATAGACACGCAGCAGGAGCAAGCAGCTTCTCCTGAACGTGGGAACACAACATCGAGTAAATTTATGAAGTTAACAAGGAAAACTCTAACCTAGAACTTTATAAAACCTATAAAAATGCAAACTAATGTTTTAATTAAGACAAAATGACAGTGTGCATTTTCCCCAAATCCCTTATGTGTCCCAAGACTTGGCAATCCATTTGCACCTATGCGTGAAGAACCACCCTAAACCATTCCATTAACGAAGCAAAATGTGTTTGATTTCTACAGTATGGAGAACAAATCTCACTCTCTAAGTCATCAACACTGGTGACAAACTCTTCAGAAGTTTTAATGCAGAGCATATTTTAAACCCCTACCACGTGAGCATCACTCTAAGAGATGTGGCATCTCAGGACGGCTGCCCACCACGGCACAAGCACCTGCCATTAGCCTCACAGGATGCTTGCTGAGGGGCGAGGGCTCAGTGCTGGGCCACCACCCCTGGGGGCTTTCAGGAGAAGCCGTAACCTGTTGACACTGTATGTCAGAGCATCTTTCTGACATCTTTCCAGCTAGAAAGCATCAGAGATTCAAGAGTCTGTGTAAACTTTTAGCAAGCATCTCCTGGGGTCTGTGGTAGCTGATTGCTACGAAATCTGTATTTGTACATAGCCGTGGTTCTAACACTTGGCCGACCCCTGTTTCCTGTCAGGATCTGGTGAATGCTGCAGAACCATGTGCAAGCCCCACAGCACCTACGAAGGTGTGCCTCGCACACCCTGGCTTTCACGCCCTCAAACACTGCACTGTCTCCCACTTCCTTTGTGCTCTGGGGTCTGGCTCGGACGTAGGCAGCACTGGCCACAAGCAACCTCCTGTCTGTCATGGTCAGTTTTGTGCCCACTTGGGAGCCTAACCCTACAGTTCCTCAAACATCACCTGTGTGCTGCCAGGAAGGGGTTTTGCAGCCATGACTCAGACCTGCGACCAGCTGACTTCCTGGAGGACACGGCTGGTCCCATTCAAGCAGGGAGCGGTCATGAGGAAGCTGTGGGTGCTGGCTCCCTGCCTGCCTGGTTTCACCAGCCAGTGACATCACACCCCTGCTGTCAGGACCCCAGGACGCACAGTGGCCCCCAAGACACTATGCCAGCCGAGAGGTCACTTCTCAATGAAGGAGCGCAACTGGGCACTTTCAAACCTCCTATGCATCCCACCTTCCGGAAGCTTCCAGCCTGAGGAGCACTGTAGTAGCTTCTCAAGATGCAGCTGAGGGGCCATTTTTTATCTTCTTCCAGGTATATTTCAAGGACATGTTTACATTAAAAATGTGTCATTTTAAGCAATGTAAGTGCAGTTACACTTCAGGGACTGAGGATCTTCAGCATCAAGCTGAGTGAGAGCCCCTTGAGGGGAGCATGCGCACGTGTTTACAGGGCAGACCAGGTGCCTGCAGCCCAAGACCCTGAGTCACAGAGTCATGTGTGGGGCTGGGCAGCTGGAGACGAAAGCACAGGGTACTGAATTTCTTTAGAAGCAGAAAGTCCGTGCACTGAATTCAAAGCTCCAAAACAAAGAACTGCTGGAAGAGAATTTATTCATCTGGATGCACAAAAGTCGTTCAAGCTCCTTGGGAAATTTTATCTTGTGCACTTTTGAGCCCCTCACAGTCCCTCACACCGTTCAGGTTTGCTGAGGATGGCTTGCTGAGCCCTGCCCTGCCCTACACACGGCCTGGGGATGGCCTGGGGACAGCCTGAGCCCTCCGGCACCCAGAGCCTATGAGAAATGCTGAGCTCAGGCCCCCCTTGATGCCCAGAATCAGATCCCTGGGGGCTCGTCGTGTGCCCGTGATGCTGGAGAAGCTTCAGTGCAGGTGCCGATCCAGCACTGTGGCAGAGGGAGCAGAACCTGGAGTTGGGGGCAGGAGGGAGGCTGCCCACTGGGTAGATGGCACGGAAGCTGGTTTAAGCAGTCCTGCAGACCCTTCTGTTTGACGATTTCTAAAATCAGTGATCATCACAGTAATTCAGACATTTTCACTAAAACTTCGGCACAGACGTTTAAGCAGTGGGTGCTAGAGTCAGACGTAGGCTCTGGGATCAGCCACCAGGCTGGAGCTATACAGAGGCAAGTGCCCCTGGGTCTGTGATGCCCTTCAGGTCCACGTGGGCAGGTGACACCTCCCCTACACGGGGCTTCCGGTCAGGAAATGAGGCCCTCACCCCACGAGTACCCAGGAAGATGGTCCTGGCTCATGGAGGACAACTGGGAAGCCCTTCTGAAGTTGAGAACTGTAGTCTGAGGACTTATAGGTAGTAAGAATAACCCTGTAAGCTGCTGACACAGTGTGTGCTTCTACACACGGCGTCAGAAATACTCATGAAAATAAAACCAAACCGAGAAGCCCTGTGTGCGCAGGAAAACAGCCTTGAGTGTCTAGAGATCTAAGAGCCACTGCTCATGCTCTGATGGGGCAGTCGTAGCCTAAAGAAGAGCCTTAATGCAAACAGCCGCGACATCACTTTCATCAAAGTGGACAACAACTCAGAGACAGATGCAGGACTCACACTCGGGGACAAACACAGGGCTCACACATGTCAGAGACAGAGGTAGGACTCACACTCAGGGACAGGCAGAGGACTCACACTTGAGGACAGACACAAGACACACTCAGGGACAGACACCAGGTCTCACATTCAGGACAGATGCCAGGACTCACATTCAGGGACAGACGTCAGGATTCACACTCATCAGGGACAGATGCCAAGACTCATACACATCAGGGACACATGCCAGGACTCACCCGTATTAGGGACAGACATCAGGACTCACATGTAAGGACAGATGCCAGGACTCACACGCATTGGGAACAGACACAGGACACACATGCACCAGGGACAGATGCCTAGACTTACACTTGTCGGGTGTTGGGCAGCAGCTTCCAGTTGCAATCTCACCCTCTGAGGCATCATGACGTCATCCTGAGGCAAAGAACACAGTTTAAACTCACATAACCCACAAACAAGAAAGAAACAGATAGAAAAGCCAACAGCAAAATGGGCAAGAGCCGGGAACAGGCAATGCAGATGCTACCCATGGGACCAGGAACCCTGTTAGTTGGCAGGGAGATGCTGGCAGTCCCCACGATGGCTCGCACACTGCCATGTGCAAGCACTCCAGAGGGCACTTGGCCTCGTCCAGCGATCTGAGGATACACATCCCTAAGACACAGGCCCCGCAACACTGGGAAGGGGCATCTTGTATGCCTTTCTAGAAGTTGGACCAGCCCAACTTTCTAGAAGTTGGCCTACAGAAATACTTGTAGAACAAATGAAATGTCCGCTCAAGACTGAATTATATTTTCGATTACTTCACCAGTTACAAAACGCTCACATATACTTTTTTTTTATTTTTTAATTACAATCTTGTATAGTTGAAGGCAGGGCAGCTAAAATTATCCCTGTTTTGTAGCCAACGAAAACAAGGCTTGGAAAGGCTATGTATTTCACCCAAGGTCTCACAGCAATTACATGCCAGGGTTAAAATTTGAACATGGGATTAACTGAGAAACCAATATTTGCTAAAACCAAAACTGCCCAGAAATTCCTGTCTCTCAAGAACATTCCACCACCTTCCTGAACTAGAATCACCCCCAGGGTGTCTGAATAAAGTCAACCCCTGCAAGTATACAGAATACTGAAGACAGCTAACACACCCACTGACAATTAGCTTAGAAATTCCAGGAGAAACGCAAGGAGCAAAGAAGCCCCCAAACCGAGCAACACGACAGGTACCCCATGATTTCAGAGCACACACTGGCCTGTAGGTCACAGAGAAGCTCCTTGTTCTCCCGAGACCATTTTGAAAGAAGAAAAACTTGCTGATGGGATGAATGAAAAGGTCTTTATTACACAAGAAAAGCCATGTGCTATTTTAATAAACAAGCTCAGATGTGTTTCTGCTGGTGGCCATGATCTGCATCACTTTTCGTGTCCTGCAAAAGGCCCCATTCTGGTCAAGGTCCACAGAGTTCACAGCTGGTGCCCAACACCAGGAGCTGGTTTTAACAAAAGTCAGCTGGTATTTGAGATGCAAAGGAGAGAAGCCTAAGGGGTGGATACACAGTCCTGACCCCACAGTGCACAGGAGGGAGGGCTCAGAAACCTCCACACATGTTTGCCTGAGAGTGTGCAAGGTCCCCAGACTGGCTGAAGTTCCACAATGATACCCAGTTAAGAAACAACATTCTCGGCAGCCTAGGGCAAAGGATTTTGATGTATTATAAAAATAACATTAATTCAGAATGAAATGCTGTTTCCTTTCTGACCACAATAATATTAGGTAGAAACAAGCTCATCTAGTCAAAGAATTTTGTAGTTCAAAGAAACCTGGAGCTTCAAATTAAGTAGCTTCTGAGTGAGAATGGCCCTGGGAGAGTATGGCTATGGGCTCCTGGGGATGGCCAGGGCCATGGTCAGGCAAGAGCTAGAGGCAGACAGAAGCCAAGGATGGGACGTGCTGCCTGCAAATCAAAGTTGCCACCAGCCACAAGAAGATCTCCCTCTACGGCAGAAAGCAAGGTCAATTTGTGTGTGTGTGTGTGTGTGTGTGTGTGTGTGTGTGTGTGTGTGTGTGTGT